GGCTGCCAGGTGAGGGCTGTTGGTCAGATGGGAGGGCTCAGGGGACCCTGTGAGCTGAGGGGAGCCAGTGCGGCAGGTGCCTGGCTAGAGACAGGATGGCCTAACAGCGGAGCAGAGCCCTCAGTAGGCTGGGCCTGGCGCTGCCTTCAGCAGGTTCTTTCCCATACAGGCTCCCAGGGGACCACCCCTACCACCCGCTCGCCCTGATACACACTGTGACAACTCCCAAATCCCGATCTCCAGCTCACGATCATCGTTTGAGCTTCAAGCCCAGCAGGCCACTGCCTTTTCCACTAGCCGTCCTAGAGACCATGCAAATCCCGGACTCGTGGGAGTTGGCCCTGAGCTCCCCGCACTAACCAGGGCTGACAGGACGTCGGTGGGGCCTGTCCCTGGAGAACTGGAGAAGGCTCAGCCTCACAGAAAGACACAGGACCTGAGCTTGGCTGTGAGTTTAACCACAGCGATTAGGGTGGTTACAAAACCGTGGTATTGCAGCCTAGAGATGCCGTCTGCTCATCTGAATGGTCTTCCTGGAAGGGGACGTGACTTCAGTGATGAGTGTCTCAGGAGCCTGTTCAGGGAAGCACACACCCTCTACAAGCAAACGCCTCACAGCGACTGCACTGGCTTGGAGTCTGGCGGGATGCCTCCTTGGAAGCAGCTCCGAGGAGGGGCTGCATTTGGGTTCTAGGGCCCTGCCAGCTCGTGTGGGGAGGATGGTGGGGCTGGGAGCTCACCCGGGGTCTCCCGGTCCTCCTCTAGGATGTGTCTATAAAAGGCTTCTTTGTCAGACAGCTTGGGGGGTGGGGGGTGGGGAGGGCGGGAGTAACTAGGACTAGGTCATTGACTGTACCTGGAGGTCAGCAGAGAGCTCTGGGACCTTGGGCCCCTCAGGCTCCCGGTGGGAGTCCTGCTGCATTATCCCGGGCGCCCTGAGCTGGCTGCGAGCCCTGATGAAGGACTCTGCCTCTTCACCCGCTGGTCACCTGCCCAGACATCTGGCCTTGCTCTGCAGCGATGCCACCATCCTTATTCACTCCCCAAGTCTCCAGGTCCTGCCCTTCCATGAAGTGGGCTGTGCCTTGGGGCTCTCACAGGCCCCTTGCTCACCGTTCCCCACACCCATAATCAAACTCCAGGCCACAGCTCCAGGGCAGCCTGCGGGGTGAGGAAGGGCAGGAGGAAAGGCAGCCGCTCCCTGACTTGTATGGGATGATGGCCAGGGCTTTTCACCTTGGGGGCCACCATGCCGTCTCTGGACACTTGGGCCTCTTGCCCTTGCCTTCCAGGCTGATGCCTCCCTGGCTCTCTCTTCAGGCGGGGCCCGTAGCTGAGCCCCAAATCAAAGCAGGAGAGCAAGCGGTTTGTTAGAAAGGTGGGCACAGTGTGGTGGCGGCAGTGGACAGTCCCTCACTGCTGTGGCTGATGGACATGTCCGCAGAGCACTGCTGCTGCGGGGGGGGGGGATGCTGGGCAACAGGCTGGCTTTCCCGTTCTTTAACAAACCTCCATGGTTTTCAGCACAATTTCTATACAATTAAGAAACCACATATTCTATACAATCCAGCCAAGTATCTTAAGGTTTAAAACCAATTTTCCCTTGAAGTGCTGAGTGATTTTTAAATAGTTTCCTTTTAAATGAATGTTCCTCTTTAGTCTGTTGCACAGTCTCCTTATATACACAGGAATGAGTGTATATCTACACGAAGTGCACATTTACACGCACCCTGCGGCTCTCACGAACAAAAGTGAGCTCTCTTGACCGCAAAACTGAGGTTGGAGCAGACACTCGACTCTGCTGGGGAGGAAGGCGCCCTGTGGTAGTCTGGGGCTTGTAGCTGCTGGGAGGTGCCAGAGCTGATTTTAAGGGCAGGAGACCTCACACCCCATAATGTAACAAAGCCAGCCCATTGGTTTGGGGGTCAGGGAGGAGGCTGATGAACAAAGACGTGTGTATTTAGTGAAAAACTAGATCTGGGTGCATTGTTTTAGATTCTCCTACTCATCATTCCTCACCAGACCTTTGACAGACACTTTCTGAGCACCTTCTCTGCATGTGCAAAATGCTCTGCCGGCTGCAGGGGCTGCTCTTTGCAATGAACAGCATGCGTGCTGCCTCGGGCAGCCTCTAGGAGCTGCTCTTTCACTGTGTGTCTGTGTCTTTGCTGCCAGACACTGTCCCAGCATTCATCTGCCTCCTGTGTCGCACAAGGAGGAAATGTCCTTGTGGCTGCCTCTCAACGACCACCTCTTCATGCTCAGGAAAGGACCTGATATTAGCACAAAGTGCTTTGCAGGTCACCTGTTCGAGTTGCACCCAACCCCCTGCTTTCTCCTTTTCCATCGAATTCCTCTGTTGAAGTAATACTTACAGTCAATGTAGTAACAGCATCTCCTACTTTCCGAGACCTTGTTTTGTAGCAGGAACCATGGAGGGCTGTATCAAAATTATTTAATGTAAGCATTCCAACATCCTATACGTTGCTTGATCTTCCCATTTTTCAGATGAGAAAACTGAGGTTCCAGAGGAGTTAATAAACTTGCCCGAGATCTGACTGACTCCCATGTGAAGAGTTATTCCTGGAACTGGGTCATAGCTCTACTTTCAATGCTTTGCCCTTTAGCAATTCCCCATGGTCTCCTGGGCTTGGTCAGGGGCTTCCCCTGCACCCATAATGCTTTGTGCTGCCTCTACCATAGCACTCATTACCTGCATTGTGACATTTCCTGCTCACTATTCCCATTAAATTGGGGGCTCCTCCAGGGGTCATGCCTTACTCAGTTTACCTCATGGCCCCAGAGCAGCTTCTGGCAAGGACTGTTTGAACCCTGGCTGGCTTTCCTGTGATGTGCCATGATGAGAATCCTAAAAAGCAAAGGAAGACGGGGAGAGGCATCTCTGATCGATGCCGGAAGACACTGGGTTTCTGTTTTCTAGTCCTGAACTGGATGGTGCGGTAGCTGACACGTGCCATCCACCTGAAGTCCCTTCTCCCTCCACAGAGGAAGAAGTGAATTTTCCCATCCGCTGTGCGTCCGGAGGCTGGCTGCCTGTGGGGAATGTTTGGAGGCGAATTCAGGGAGCTTCCCTTGCCGCAGTTCTGTTCTTGGGGTGCTCTCAGAGTCCTTGCCCCCGGAAGAGTCCCCTGATAGAGCGAATGGGAGGACGAAGAGGAGCTCACAGATCCAGGTGATGGCGCCCTCAGGGGGGTATCACTTTGGGCAGATGGGGCTGGACCGAGAGTTCTCCCATGTGGCTCACTGTTTCAGCCACTCTGGCTGCCTGATGGCCTGTGGGCAGCACCGTGCTCCCACCACCGCCCCTCTGGTCACATGTCACCATGCAGGCGTTTTCACTGAGCACCTACCATGGTCCATGTCCACGACAACCACCCAAAGGAAAAGGTTATTGTTGTTCACATTTTACAGAGGACACACTGGGGACGTTCCCAGCACCTTACAGTGAGTAAGTAACAGAGTCCCAGTGCCCCCCAGGCTCCTACTCCGCGCAGGACGATTCAGTGCTACCCTGCCGCCTCGCGCTCGCTGGTGCGCTGCCTGTGAAGTGCTGGCTCCTGCTTCCTCGGCTCCTGCCTACCTCTGGGTTCGGTATTGAAATTTTCAGAAAGCAAGTCTTGGTCTCATGTAATGTGGCCCTTCTTGTTGAGCCACCATGGCTCAGCACAGCAAGCTCCTTCTTGATCAAGAAAGCCACTAGAAGCTGGGACTGGGTCACCAGGCTGGGGTCCGATAGTGCTGTTGAGGTCACAGGAGGAGGAAGGACAATGTGAGACTGGGAGTAGAGCGGGTTGACATCTTGACAGCTGCTAAAACACCTTCCAGCTGTTAAAGTGCCTCCACATATGTAGTTCCAGTCTTAAAAGAATGCTGAGTGTTCAAGAAACTTCCACATGAGCACACTCTCAGGGTGCACTGAGACGTGCTGGGGCACTGGCTCCCGGATTTGGGCTGTAATTGAAACACACCCATTCACGCTCATCCTCGGGGCCCAGCACACTCTCAGCACAAACGATGGTACTGGACGCTTAGAGGACGGTGGCAGGTAAGCTGATCACGTGGGTGGGTATTGGAAATTCAAACATGACAAGAGGGTTTGTTCTTCCCTGAAATAGAAAACAAGTGAACAGAGGGGATGACATGGAAGCTTTGAAGACCGCACATGCCATTTATGGGGAAGTCGGACAGCTGACAACTGTGGGAATGAAACATAGATTCACAGAGTGTGGAGCAAGCAGGGAGCGGCTGCCCTGTGGAGGGCAGTCTTGTGGAGAGAGCTCCTCAGGGCTGGGGCTACGGGAAGAGCCAGCAGTGCTTTGAGGACTCAGGAGGCACCACGAGTGCTGGGCGTGTGAAATGCCCAGGAGCTCTCCGGGCCCTGGAGGGAGGCTGTGGAGCACAGAGAGGTGAGAGCGGGGCTTCAAGGTGAGCAGCTCAGGCTCTGAACCTAGCTCCACCCTCACGAGCGGGTGACTTGCAGCAAAATGGCTCTTCAACCATCCAAGACTCAGCTACCGATTGCCAAATGGGGATAACAAATCCCACCTCATGCTCTCATTGTAAGAGTCAGGGGACAATCCGAGCCAGGCATTTGGCACACTGCCTGGCATGTAGTAAGGGCTTAAAAGGTGTTAGCTATTTTTATTATAAATCAAAAAGGAGGAAGAAACATTAGTAATTTTTGTGCACCGGGCCTCTAGTTTTTATTATAAATCAAAAAGGAGGAAGAAGCATCAGCGAGATGATGCAGCCTTATGAATACATTCAATCCTGTTGGATTTCCCCATGTAGACAAAGGAACTGGCAGTCAGACTTATGCCCTAACGTGAGGTGTGGAGTGGGGTGGGGAGAAGTCCTGGTTTATGGAAAGACTGTCAGGGTCTGGGATGGACTGAGTAGCCCTCAGCTGTGGACAATGGCTTAGGATGTAATTAGGCTGAGTCTTGTCACCGTCACTCATCCTTTCCTGCTGCTGGAAGGTGGGCATGCTGGTGGGACTGCTCAAGGCCCGCGGGCTTAGCCTGGGCTCCACGGAGCAGCCCATGGATGCGCTTCAAGGTGTCCATCGACGTCTGCGCCTGGAATGTTGATTGTGTAGTTCTTTGGGAAAAAGCGGCTCTTCACATTCTTTAAATTTTCTCAGAGATCTATGACCCAAAAGGCTGAGGACCTACCTCTGTTGTAAATATTCCCACTGTCACCTCTGCGAGGGGAGAAGTCCTGGAGGGCACAGAGGGCTGTGCTTACGGATGGAGCAGTGCATCCTTTGAACCCATATAACGAATTGTTTTCCTTTGTCCTCTCAGACAGGAATAGCGCAGAGGGAGTTTCTATCAATGATTTAATTTAACCCTCACATCAATTTTGAATGATATCCTCATCCTCTTTTATAAATGGGATTTAAATGTTTATTTAATTATTCCAAGATCATGCAGCTAGGAGAGGCAGATTCACACGGCATCTCTCTGATTCTACTTTTGGCACATTCTTGCACTTCCCTTGAATGTGTCTTTCGGTGTGAATTTAATATAACATAGATGCCTTTCCATCACGTGTCATGAGTCCTGCTTTTCCCTTACAGAACATTTCTCTCTAATGAGGCTAAAACAGGCCCTGCTATCCAGTGGGATTGGAGTCAATGCAAATGTTCTGTTTAGAAAAGGCTGCTGGCCAAATGGCAGAGGCCACCCAGTAAGAGCGAGGCATTGTTTAGGTGAGCACAGTCTCCCGAGGGAGAACCTGAAGTTTCTGTGTGGATGTCTTTTTGACTGTGGTCACATGGAAGAGCCCTCAGATGCCCTTGGTCCAGAGAATGTGCCCACAAGCTCCGCCACCAGGAAAAAGAAGGTGCCTAAGAAGATGACCTGTGATGGAGGGTCTGGCCCAGTTTTTAAGAACTAAGGTTGAAAAGATCATGCCTGTCACCCACCAGGAAAAAGAAGGTGCCTAAGAAGATGACCTGTCTGGCCCAGTTTTTAAGAACTAAGATTGAAAAGATCATGCCTATCATCTCTGAGGCTCATTTGGGTAGTGTCTGTGACCTCTCTTCAGGTCTGGGGTGTATGTCAAGTGTGTGTGTGTGTGTGTGTGTGTGTGTGTGTGTGTGTACCCTTGCACTCATGTCTAGGGGTGGGGACTTCCATCTGTGAAGGATGTTGAGAACCAACTTCCTACATTGAGATAAACTTGCCCAACCTTGGGACAAGGCGAGGCACTGGTGCCCACTTTTTGGGGCAGATGCAGTGTTCTGGTTTGCACTATCTAGTTCTCCATTAATTGAAGCAGTTTTTGTGGTTTTCAACATGTCCCTAGTTACCGCAAAGGAATCGGCTCAAGGTGTTGGCTCAAAGGCCATGAGAGTCATGTGTTTTGACATCTTTCTGTGTTCTATGCAACTTCCTATGGGTATAAATTCTTTTGAAAGTGTTTTCTTTTGTGATTCAGCTGCACCTCCGATCAGCCCTGCCCTGACCAGGCCCCGATCAGGGCGGGCCGGCTGGCCAACCTCTTGCCATCTCCTCCTCCTGACAGAGGTTGTTATGGTGTTTTGGTTGCTGGCTTTTTATATATATAGATTAATAAAAGATTTCAATAGGCAAGAATCAACCTGATTCTCAACCCGATTCTAAAGATTATATTAAAGAAATGTAAGATGGGAACATATAACACAAAAGGAAGAATGGAGAAGTAGATCCAGCATTACCAGGTGTTGGACATACAGCCATGACAAAATCTAAACCAGGTGGGAATAGCAGATGCTCAAAAGAAATAGATCTGTTGGACCCCAGAGTGAGCAGGGGGCACACTTAGCTCTACATGATAGAGACACATGACAGTCAGTGTCTTTGTGTCAGGGTGGGAGGGCACCTCACAGAGAACAAGGATGGCTGACCCATGATTAGATTCAAAGGTATTTCATCTACTAAAAGTACGTACAGATAGATTAAATGCACAGGAACATGTCAGAAAAAAGCTGGTAGAAAACAGACTTTCATCATATCAGATCTACAGAGTCATGTGTTTTGATATCTTTTTATCCTGGCTTACAGTAATATATAAATTTAATTCTGGCTTATAGTATACAGTAATATATAAAAAGCATAACAAAAAAGAACTACAAAGTTGATGATATTAAAATAATGACAAAATTAATGAAAAAATAGCAATGGATTGGGAAATAATTTACATAATTGTGAATAAAGATTGATTTCTATAATGTTTGTAAAGCCCACTATAATAATAAATGTGTAATATGCTAATTAGACCAGACAGCCGAACAACCATCTGGACGTCATTCCGGACGTCCTTCTGGATGAAGCCGCAGTGGCAGGGGCCAAGGCAGAGGCAGTTAGGGGTGATAAGGCAGGCAGGCGAGCAGTTAGGGGCAATCAGGCAGGCAGGCAGAGTGGTTAGGGGTGATGAGGCAAGCAGGTGAGTGGTTAGGAGAGATCAGGCAGGCAGAAGAGTAGTTAGGGGTGAACAGGCAGGCAGGTGAATGGTTAGGGGTAAACAGGCAGGCAGGCAGAGGGGGTAGGGGCAATGAAGCAGGCAGGCAGAGTGGTTAGGGGTGATCAGGAAGGCAGGCA